CTAAACCTTGTATACCCCTATATTCCCCACTTTAGGCCCGACATCACGGCCACATTGTCACCCTAAACCCTGAGCCCTAAACCCTGAACCCTATACCCTAAAACCTTAACCCCAAAACCTGAACCCTAAACCCTAAAACCTGAACCCTAAACCCTAAACCTTTACAGCCGGCGAACTTTGAGTGTTAGGTATACACCTGGCCAAGTCAACCTCGAACGGTAGCCTGAGCCTCGCCTTGAATCGATCCAGGCTTCCATGACTTGGGATTCAGGGTTTAGGGTTTAAAGGGCTTGGGGTTCAGGGTTTAGGGTTCAGGGTTTAGGGTTTAGGGATCAGGGTTCAGGGTTTGGGGTTTAGGGATCAGGGTTCAGGATTGAGGGTTTAGGGCTCAGGGTCAGGGCGTTGAGCAGGGTAGGGGCTTGAGGTTTATGGTCTAGGTTGGAGGCGTCAGTCTAAGGGCTTTGGGCTTCTGGACTAAAACTTTGCAAGTAGCTAGTGCAAGTCCTGGGGTGCCATGCAACCAATTGTCATATGATAGATTCTGTTTCGTGTAACTACCATCTGGTATGATGTGAAAATTACGGTCCTGAGGGTTTGGGGGTCTAAACTCCTTGAAAGCCTGTGCAGCATGAACAGAAAGTGAACCAAACAATTAAACACCAGAGGGAGGTACACCCGGATGATCGTTCGATCGTTGTTTGCCTGTCATTCTTCACCTCTTGCTTTTGTTTAGTGTGGAATACATTTGTTTCTTTTGTGTATTTTGGCTGGGTATCCTTCCTTTCTTAGGAGGTTTTTTTGATAAGACAGATATACTTTGGATTGGGTATCCCTGGAACTGAAGGTGTCTACGCGAAAGCGGCACTAGCCTGTGGAAGCAACCCTCCATGCTTTAAAGCCCAAGCCATAGCCTAAACCCTAAACCCGAATAGGATTTAGGGTTAATGGGCTTTGCGTGCGCGTATTGAACTCAGAGCGTCTACGCCCTGCTGGACTCTTCACTTGAGTAGTTTATTTGGGGATACTATGGTACCCAATATAGAGTAAGATTCTATCCTCCTATTGGGGTATAGGATTTTCTATGAGGAATATCATCTTACTAGGTTCAACCACCAAAAACAACACTACTCACTTATTCAAAGCTTGAAAGTTTCCATCAGGACTGCCGGGACAGCCTGGATGGGCAAAGCTTGGTGTTTGCCGGCTGAGTTTGATTTCATAGAGGCGAGTCACACGTCGCATTTCAAGTTGACCCCTGATGTGCACTGATCCGCGAATTCTGACTCAAGGTTCACCCGTGTACTTGAAACTGGCGCTTGTTATGGGGAACCTCCAAACAGGGACTCTTAGCGCCGAGTTGCCGCAAGGCCCTGGACTCAATTACCTTGTTTGGCTTAATGTATTTAATGTTAAGGTTGAGGGAATGACCCTAATAGTGGAGAATCGACATGGAAAAGATAACGGACAATGAGCTGGAAACTGGGATGATGGAGGGATTAGGGACTATGAAGCTGGGTTTTTGTTATGACAAGCACGGGGTTTCTTACGAATTTTGGTCACTGTATGCATTGGCTTTCCAATTTCGAGGACCACACATTCAAATTGCATGTTGGGTAAAAGGTTTACCAGCAACACGTCCCGCACCAAAATGGGGCTCGCAGAAGGCCAGATACTATACAAAGACGACAGCCCGTCTGAATTGAGCACCAAGAAGATTAATGTATAGAACAGGCTTGCATAATTCCCAACGCTAGAAAATTTGAGAAGACTTGGATTGTGGAGTGAAAGTTTACCTTCGCACGTATAGATGATCCCGCTGCGGATTGAAGATGACCGTGTTTCATGGCACCTCAGCATTTTTTGGGAAGATGTCATCATCAGAGGTCAACAATCCCAGTGAGCCCAATACACCTTAAATGAGGATGTTGCCCTAAGCGAGATTCGGATCCTGATTTGATATACTGTGGATGTACGCGTATGTATGTACATACACAGGAATTGGGACGCGTACTATGGTATTGGGTCAGTGTATACTGGACTCCTGAAGACTGTGGGTGATGATATACGTGTGTGTATGTATATATACATATATTCGTGGTCTCGCGCATAACGTAGAACCCCACCATAATATACACATAGATGTACATTCCTTTGTTACGGGGTATTGGGCTCCCTGAGTGAGTCTATGCCTGGAGGCGTCACCTGCCTTCCATTGCATAGCAAGATGGCGGGCAGTTCTCACATGCTAATGATGTGAACCAAAAGTCGGGGGTCCTCAGAAATGTGGGTTTAGGGTGTTTGGCTTTGCTTCATTATTTTGGGGGGCTTGAGCTTTATGGCAAATATCAAGATGCGGCTGGTCTCTTGACAGCTATGCGGTTGCGGCTCTTCAGCCAAAGGAATTTCTGGAAGAAGTCGCACCCTAAACGCTAAACGCTACCTCAAATCCTAGACCACACAGAGGTTCAGCCAGATCTTGGATGTGAGTTATTGCCAATAGTACTTACCAAGGGACCATTGAGGGTGGACATAGGGGTCCTTCATGTAGTTTACCACCCATGTCCATTAATTAGCAATACTGACCGCAGCTCATGTGAACCCTGGATTACAGTCCTATACATTCCTTAAAGGTCCCCCCTCAACCCTCCTATACATCCCCGTATAGGTACCCCCCAAAGTAACTTCGATATCTGTAGAAGAAACCTAAGAGATGGGCATGCAGACGCAGTTTGGGAGAAGCCCAAAGGTGGGTTTAGGGTTTGGGGTCCCTGGTTCATGGTTTTATTGTCAAAGATTCACTGTTTAGGGTTTAAGATTTATAATTCAAGTTTCACGGTGTATAGGGCGTAGGAATTGGGGTGTAACTAGGCGTCCAACTCCTCCATGCATGCTCCCAAAGATTTGCGGTTTGATCAGCATCTTCAGCCAATCTAGACTTCTTGGATTTGCACAATTGCACGCTTGTAGGTTGCCAACATGGATCCTAAAGGCATTCTAGAGTCCAGAACACCAGTTGCTTGGGTATCAGTCCCCTAAACCCCGGCACTGTAAAGCCTTTCTTTGTTTCAATTCTGAGCACCAGGAATGATACCCCTTTTTCCGAAAGCTAGGTCGACCAGGAAAGGTACGGGGGGAAATTCCAAAAATTGGTTATTCACCGAAGCGGTAGCGCACATGAAAGGGGTGCAGCGTACAGAGTCTGAATTACAAACATCACAAATTTAAGGAGCTCCCAAGTGCCCACGACTCAGCATGTCATCTGACAGGTTTGGCTCCAAGGTTTCTCTCCGAACCCTTACAACAATCATCCACAAGCCCTGAATCCTCACAGGGGCCATAGAGCAGACATGGTTTGTTAAACGACGACCTACAGCTTCAACGCCCAGGCCCATCACCACATGGGGCTTTTCAAAATTCTTTAGTTACCTTCTTTAGTTACCTTAAACCTTCAAGCAAGGTTTCTGGGGATATTCTCTCGTTTCAGAAGCCTCGATTTTTGAAGTTGTTTCTCCTCAGATGGTGTTTACCCTAACCCTATACTTTTACGGTTTAGTTCAGGGCTTAAGTTGTTTCATGATAGCAAGGAGGTGGCCTCAGCCATGGCGACTCATCGCGATCCTGTGGACCAATCAATTTGGCAGGCCGCTGCTGCATCAGATGCTCCAGCGTATCAGGTAGGTTGTGTTTTGCTTAATGGGCCTTCGGTGATGGCATATAGGCTTCCAGCCTTACGAGTATTGGTGAGTTCCCATATTGGATGTCCTGTGCGGGTCCTTTCTACGTTTTGACATATGGGTTTCTCTGCATTGCTACGAAAAGCTACGAAAGGAACCATGCTCCTCAAGAGGGGAAGAGGGGCTACTAAGGATAAGATTCTGGATGCTCTTCCAAGCGTTCTCAAGATGCTCTCATCCTGGGCCACGGATGTCCTGCAAAAGCCGGTGGAGTTCGAAGCATACGGGTCGGCAGCGACCAGCATCACGGATGCTTCCTCAGATATAGACCTTGCGTTGAGAGGTAACTTGTCCGAAGATCCAGGAGATGTTCTGGCAAGGCTGTATGATTGCAGGGAGAACTTGCGTGATTTTCAGGTCACCAAGTTTGTGCCCGGTGCGCGTGCGCCGTTGCTCACACTTGCCAGAGCAGATGGGGTAGTTGTCGACATTACGGTGGGCAATCATCTTCCTGTTTACAACTCCCGGCTTGTTAAGGAGTACTGCGAGTTGGACGCGCGTTTGAAGCCACTGGCGTGTGCTGTCAAAATGTTTGCAAAAGCGGCGGGTGTTGTGGGTGCTGCAAAGCAGCACCTTTCAAGCTATGCGTGGACCCTTCTGGCCGTGTTCTACTTGCAGTCTGCAGATTTGAAATCGTATCTTCCAAGCTCGGCAGAAAGTTCAAATTTGCCATGTCTGCAGTCCGGGTCTACCAAGCAAAACATCAGCATCCAAGGTCGCACATATGATGTGGGTTCAGAACAGTTGCTGACCTCACACGTGAAGAGGAATTTGGGCACCGGGCGTTGGACAGTACATTCCCATGGCGTGCTCTTGTGCTTGGCTTCTTCAAGTTTTTCCTAGAAGACTTTGACCTCAGCAGCCACATGGTGTCCATCCACAGTGAAGCCCGTCAGCCTTGTGATGCCCAGCCAGGTCCGCACATCCAAGATCCAATGGATCCCGAGCATAAGCTGGACTCCGTGCTAACACCGTCGCGGCGCAAAGAGTTCCTAGACGCCCTCATCGTTGGGAGGGACATGTTGCAGGATGGATCTACATTTGCAAAGCTAATAGGTGGAGATGCTGATTTGTGCTCCCCGGTGACATGGGACGTTTTCCTGCAGACCACAGACTTGGTGCATCATAGTGTTCGACCAAGCGGACACCCCGCTAGCAATATGCAAGCTGGCCCCATGTTCTACAGCTCCGGAGAGGTGTGCAGCAGCAAAGTGCACAGTTTTCAAAGCGCGTGCGCATGGGTTGGATGAATTCCAGCAGAGAGCCATGCTAGCCCTGGCCCACGCGGAGTCTGCAGTTGTTGCCGCCCCGACATCGGCCGGCAAGACGGTGGCTGAGTCCAACTTAATTAGTGTACGCTCGGGTCCAACCTTATCATACGTGAGGCTCTATCTCTCATAGTCAAACAAAGCCTGTGGATCGTTTTCTACATGCTTGTAGTCCGTACTGAAGCTTTGATATACCCTGACACAGCCCAGCTGACTGGACAGTTGGTATCGGCACAAAGGGTCTGAGCCTTCACCTTAGTTCCAACCTACCCTATGCCCTGCACCCCAAACCTAGGTGGTTGGTGAGTTTGCGATGGTGCAGGCACTTGACGGCGGCGGCTCAGTGATTTTCTGCTCGCCGACCAAAGCCCTTAGCAACCAGAAGTATCTTGCGAGAGTTTAAGACAGGCATGCATGAAATTAGCTCCCTTTAGTTACAAATTACAAATACTCTTCACCACTGCTTTGCATGTATACCGAGGTTTCTTGACTTCTACAAGCTTTTCCCGCAGAAGGTGGGTCTGCTCACAGGAGACGTCTCAATATCGCGGTCTGCGCCAATTTTGGTTGCAACCACGGAAGTATTGCAGCACGGATAAAGCTTGGGGGAGAGGCTAAAGGACTCGGCGTTCGGTTTTTGATGGACTAATCCTTATTCTGGGGGAGTCCCAGGCAGGGCCCTTGTTGAGGTAAGGTTTATTATCGGTTTCGACGAGAATATGTAAAGTTCCGTAGGAATGTCAGTGCGTGCATGCATTTTGTGTTGCACTACATGTCCCATTTGCAGGACTATAGATTGAAGTCCTACTGAAGCCGTCCTACTGAAGCCATGGTTGAAGGTTTAGGGTTACGATGATAAGGAGTGCTATGCCTTCATCATCCAAGAAGAGTTCTATCCTGCGTACGAGCACCCAATTTTGACCGCCTTGGCCCCTACACTCCTGTGCCCTTAGGAATTTGCTTATACAGGTTTAGGGTTTACGGTCTAGGGATAACCCTAAGGAATTGTCATAAATGAGGGAGCACTCTAGCGTTTAATTGAGGAATTCACCTTTTTATACCACTATACGATCCCCGATATTCCCCGACATGATTCAAGCTGTGTTTCCGAATTAAGGGGTATCAACATTTTGACCTTACACCCTCGAATATTCCTTAATCAAGGTTCTTGAGCCGCCGAGGCGATCAATGCTGTGCCACCACGCGGATTTCGAGCGCGTGAAGACGGTGATTTTTGATGAGGTGCTTTATTCCCTGCTCATAGATGTTCTTGGGGATCCTCTTTACTCTTCATGCCTCTCCCTGAGCGTGCCCTAATTCCTCTAAAAACTTCCGGGATTCATTGAAAGGGGCGGGTCTGGGTTCTGCTAGGGCCCCAAAACCAAAACATATAACAAAGCGCTCTATCCTTGGCCCGGAACTCTTTAGGCAGCCACTAAGACACATCATAGGGGGCCTCTTCATTAAATGAGGGCCAACATGCATGGACTGGGGTGCAGCAGTAGTGCGAGGTGCACTACATTGGGGACACAGAGCGTGGATCCGTGTGGGAGGAAGCAATCATCTTGCTCCCGGCACACGTCAACCTGTTGTGCTTGTCGGCAACAGTTCCCAACTGTTTGGATTTGGCAGGCTGGATCTGTCAAACTAGGCACTGCGTGTGCCACGCAGTTGTGAAGCAATCAAGGCCTACGCCTCTGCGTGTCTATGGGATAGCAGATATCACATGCTTGCTCGTGGACACCGAAAGCGGGACCTTCCTGGAAGACAATTTTCAGAAGCTGCATCCGGGGGAAAGGAGCGCAGAGGACATTTTGCACGGCATTGCGGCGAATACGAGGTTGACACCTGCGTTGGCATTTATGTTCAGCAAGGTCGCCTGCCAAACATTTGCATTGGCCCTCGGAAAACGCTTCAATCAAGCAGAGGTTGTGGCAAGTCTCATCGCAGAGTACCACGGCGCAAGGACTTCAAGGCTAAAAGGTGCCATCAAGTTCTGGGCTTCAAAAAAGATCGCAAGGCTGCTGGCTTGATTGATGGGGACTCCATTATTTCGTAGAATTTTGGGTGCTCATAAATTGGATCCCAGGGTTCACTGACTTTTGTACTCGGACTCGTTGTTTTGCCGCTAGCTCAGGCTTTGTCCCATTACATCCCATCTGCGGACGGACCAGGCGCAGCAGATCTGCAGCTTGACAACGGAGGCTTTGCTCCACCTACCTGAGGAGGACCGTGGATTGGAGCAGGCGACAATGTGGGGTGGATACGTGTGACACCCTGAAGATAGCTGGGGAGTGGAAGGCAAGAATTTATTCCCCACCCTTGCAGTGGGGTTGTTAGATTCTAAAGTAGATGTTGTCCTCGCCCGACTGGAAGCTCATTTTAGTGACCAACCACCAAGTATCCTTGCAGT